ATCCAAATGAACTCTCCAAACAAATCCGAATAAACACTAACAAATCTAATTTCCCCACTCATCACGAAGTCTAGACCTGTCGGTGCGAGGATGTGAAGACGGACACTCATCCACAACATGATTTGGATCACCGCATCTAGTGCACTGTCCCCTATCCCTCCTGCGGCGTGCCCGACGATCCATTTGCATGCGATATCGTCTCGTTTGCACGCGACCGGGTCCAGGCTTCAAGATCCTTCTCTCCCAGTGTGGTATCAATTTTCACTCGACCGGCGCCCATGTATCTGGATTACCAATCGGAACAAAACTCCAATTGCTAAATTGAGCTACACAGTTCTCCGTCCAAAAATACTCACTGTACAACAGTTTTGGGTCAGTCCCAACTGAACGACATACTGTTATCGCATGAGAGCATGGTTTTCTATGCGTTTTCCACTTCCGACAACTACAACATGCTCGGTTGTAATCTACCTTATACCTGTAATAATTCCCCAGTGATTTATATATATACCATATGAAAAAATTGAATGGACAAAGAAAAAAAACATATACTTACTTGTTTTGCCCTCTTCCACTAGCCCGTAAACCGGTTTCCACTTATATATGAAGTTGTCGGCGTCCCTAACTCTCACATTATGAGTGGCGGTTGTCTTCTCCAATTGCAAATATGCGTTAAAGTGCTCCCTAGCAATGGGACTCCCGCATCTCGTGGACTTGTTTTGTTCCTGTTGAAACAAATCCAGAGTTTTATGAAATGTGGCGTCTACCAAAGCTCTGCACGGCAGGAACCTAACCCCTTTCAGGACGTTGTTGTAACTCTCCGACATATTCGTTGTCAATGTGCCCCATCTGCGTCCTTGATCTTTCAATAGGGTCCACTTGTTCAAAGGAATTCGAGAAAGGTAATTGTGTGCTTCGGAACTCAATGCCAACAGTCGCTATTCTGTCCCTCGAAACTTTCGCTCCGACAACTGCGAACCCAATTCCTAACACCAAGTCCGAATTTTCTTACTCCTGAACTTAGTCACCAAGTTGCTTCGAAGGTGTCGAAGGCAAATCCGGTGATACGCAGTGAGTTCTTGCCAATCTGCTAATGATTCAATGGCACTGAGTAGGCCCGCATCCCTGTCGGAAAGAACGCAGATCCGTCTCTGGAAGACTACATATTGCCGCAGATTCCTAAGGAAAAATGACCAACTGTCTGTGCTTTCTTCATCGACAAGCGTATACGCGACTGGCAATAGGCGCTTATTCGCAGTCTTTGCCATGGCCACAAGCAATTTTCCCTTGTAGGATCCACGCAAATGTGTGCCATCGACGCTAATAACCAGCGGGCACATTTGAAAAGTTTGAATGGCGGGACCAAACGCCCAGAATACGAATTTGAATTGTCTGTCTCGAAGTTGTCGCGCCATTTCCCCACCCTGCCATTCCGACTCTACAACTGTGGAGGGATTCGTTCTTTGAAGCGCGGTAAAATACCTACACATTACAAAACAGTTTCATAATAAATAGATAAAAATAGCAACAGACAAACAACACATATATTTGTAATTAATTTTTGCTTACTGAGGGAGTTCTGCAAAGTTCGATTCCCAAGTGCCATATACACTCTCGATGGCTTTTCTCCTTCCGTGCCATGCCTTCTTGTAGCTGACATCCACTTTCCAGCACTGTTTCACATCAGCCTGGATCACGTTGACGCCGTACTCCACTTTCTTTCGAATCTTATTACGAATGAGATTTGAAATCATTTGGGCGGTTACATTTCTGTGGTCATTTCTCTCTACCGGTTGCATACAAGTATGTCTATCAGTCCATTCAGTTAGTTCCCACATTTCATGAACCCACCTGGACTTAGTCACCCGAGCCTTCCACACAAGGCGGATCTTCACTAGATCTGCAGACCACTTTGAATGACTTTTGATTTGAATCATGTACCCGAATCTCCCGCAATCTATCGACGTTCCAACCAATTAAAGCCATTTGGGCTTCTTGCTTGCTCCGAAAAACTATACCCAAACATATGGTCTCAATGTCGCCATTCCAGCGTGGAATAGCATACTCGTCCTCATCTATCCTGGACGGGTCCCGTTCACCCATCTCGCGGTATACGTGCCGACCACCACTAGGAAAGGAAAATTCTTCTTCAATGAACTCGGCTTCACTCTCCTCATTCACCGATCAATCTGATTCGGTTTCTGAGGTCTCGTCTGTGAAATCATCTTCACCGAGTGTGAACTCTTCGTCACTTTCTTCCCCGTCTTCATTTGCCCTTTCTCTAATTGGTGAGCTTGTCCCTTCTCCAAAATTACGTAGATGAGAAGTCGACGTGCCCTCATCCATTCCCCCGTAATAAGGAGTAAAATCCTCAAATTGTGTGACCGGTGTAATTGCCTCCAACGATAAATGCAAATACACAACGGACATAAGAGGAGATAAATAAATCCACTCAAGAGCACTATCGTTATCGAGTCTTCCGGCAATCCACGAACCATCGCGTTGACGAAACATTAAAGTAATAGCTTGAATTGTCCAACCTTCTCCAAACCGAAAATTTTCATTAATCATCTGTACCAATTGTTCATATGATATCCTCCCCGTAATAACAAATGAACCATCCGCACTATCCATAAATGAAACAAAATCTCTTAACTGATCCCTCGCAAATTGCCAATACAAATTAACAAAATACGGACCACAATACGCCATTTATACCTGTTGCAAACAAATACTTTCAATTCTTCCCAATTACAACAACACATAATGTGTAATCCAACACCCAAAAAATTCAATTATTCTTTAAACCCATCTTTTTACTCTAACGAAAAAACCAAAAAAAATATTCTCAATCGATTAGTCCTCCAAAACCCTAATACTCATAATCCAACAATAACATACAATTTACCTATATTTCGAATAAATTGGAAGCCCTAATTCTAATTATATCCCTAATTTCAAAAAACCCTAAGCCCAACAACAACCAATACACAATTGACAATTTAGAATAAAATTCTAATCTCCAATTCAACATACACACATAATCGATAAACAATTAACAATTCACAATCTTCAAACACCACCACATTCAAATATACTATAACAATTACTAATTTTCAAACAACTCCAAACAATGTCAAAAGTTGAGATAAGTCAATATACCTCGTGCGGATGACTTAACCGGAAATGAGGTTCGTGTTGTTGTTGTCGATTCACGTCGGAGTGGCGATTGGATCAAGTTTTTTTTTTTTTTTTTCCGATCGCAATTTTTTCTCTCTTCACTGTGAAGTCGCGCAAATGAAATGGGGATGAAGAAGAGAAGATTTGTTGTTATATTCAATTGTAAAACGGATTTTGTAAATACGTTTTATACCTATTTAACTGTAAAACATATTTATTAAATACATTTTTCAATATTTTTTTTAGTTAATTAAAAACGTAATTATATTATACGGTTTAAAATATTTTTTTTTAAATTTAAATTTTATGAATTAAAAACGTATTTAATAAATCCGTTTTTCAATACCCCAAAAGTCAATCAATTTAGGATTTTATAAAACGGATTTATTAAATCCGTTTTTCAGAACCCCAAAATCAATCAATTTAGGGTTTTATAAAACGATTTAATAAATACGTTTTTCAAAACCCTAAATTAATTGATTTTTGGGGTTTTGAAAAACGGATTTGTTAAATCCGTTTTATAATTATTAATTTTTATTCCATTCCTCTCTTTTTCTGATGAAATGTTATTACAAAAACGGATTCGGGAAATACGTCCTTTTTTTTCCACTGTTTTTTATTTATTTTTTTTATTTTTTTCCATTTATTTTTTTTTTAAAATAAATAAACTACCCTTCAAAATTCAGGGAGCTCTTCCATTTAAAATCCAAACATATTCAAAATTTGAATAATGAGTTATGCAGATTGATTAATTTTATGAGTAGTTTAACTTAGATCGATTTGCTATCTTACTAGGTGGGCTGTCCAGCCTAGGCAATTGCCTAGTCTGAACTTTTTTTGCTAACTACATAGTTTATAGGATTAACATGTGTTAATTAAAAAATATATATTTAATAATTTTAAAAATATAAAATACAAGTTTTTATTTTAAGATTTTAAATAATTCTTACAAAGTAAATTATTTTTTATTTAAAATGATACACCTCGCTTGTCAGATTCGACAGTATTATATTATAATAATTTTGCTACTTATACCGTATGATAAGCTTGGTAGATAAATTTATCATTTTTTAATTATAATTGATAAATATTTAAATTTAATTATTTTTATTTATATGTACGATATGAATGTCAAATTATAGATTGTGAAAATATGAGTAATTTAATTTATCATATATAAAAAATAATAACAAATATAAATGCTATGAACTTATAAAATGTATTTATAATTTAAGTTAGCTAAGTGTTTAAATTTGAAAGTTCTAACAAACATGGATAAATGTCCATAATTATATGGACTACTTCGAAGCCTTATAAATTAATATTAGAATTACAAAGTGTTAAAAAAGTCTACAAAGAAGATAATCCATAAGGACCTCTTTATAAAACAACATAAATAAAAATGATGACATATATATTTTTTAAAATTAATAAACTATATTTCAAAATGACTTATTTATAACTTATTAAAAAAATGATGGAAAATGGATTGTAAAATATTTTTGCTGTACTTCTTAATAATAATAAATTGCATAATCAAATAGTCAGACCGCATTCTTAATTTCATTTTGAGGAGTCAAAGGTAATTTGAATAGACAATCGATTGCTTCATCGTTTATTTAATTGTTATACTTTATGCAATATTGTTGAAAGCTTTTTTTAACTATTTTTTGCCCCACCTCATAAAAATTTCTGAATCCGCCGCTGGGTGGGCATGCAATGAGTCGTTGCACGAATGACATTTAGACCAGTCTGACAAAGCCACCCAATTTAACTAATAAAGCATCTATTGTATGGATGATTATCGTACCATCAATAATGCACTTTAATCGTATAATTCGCAAACAATCGTTAGATATCTAGTGTCGTTACAGAGACGATGATGACGACCCCAATAATATTATGGAAGAAATATTTCATACAATCCTTAAATGCTAAATTCTTCTTAAGATATATGTGTACACACCAACATATACATATGATTAGTACATGGTCACCAAGTAGCACTACAAATAGGAGCCATACAAGGCACAAACTTTTAATGGTTATGTACAAGAAAGCCACCACTTCCACAGCAAACTATACACACTGAATAAAAAGCTTCTTCACCCATATTTGTATCAAGCGCTGAAACCTCGAGAAAGTGAGCTCCAAGGATTGGAAGGGAAATTAACACAGGCTTGAGCTGATGCCTCTGCCATTTGCTCTTTCGCAATGCCTGCGTTACATATGTTGGCAACCAATCGCATGTGTTTCATTCCGTACTGTGATAGGGACCCACAATGTGTCTCAAATGTCCTAACCTGTGTAGCATAGTACATGATTGATCAACTGCCTTTTCATCTCATTTCTTAGAGGTCGTTAGAATGTTGTGTCAAGGGTTGAATTACAAAACTACCCCTGGATTACAAGAAATGTCTTGTTGTCACTTAAAGTTACAATTACAACAAGATTTTTTGTCTTTGTTACACGAATAACTTCATCATGTAGACAGAAGTTTGTTCTGGCACATGATATCAAGAGCCAAAACATAAACTAAATTGAAGTAGAGGCTAAATTTTGATATTTTACCATAGATTTAAGGCAATTCCAGTCATCAACAAGAGGTTGGCCGGCAGGTCGTGCAGATATCATCATTTGAGAACCCTTCTCCATTCCAAAAAGAAGTTTCCCAATCAGCTTAAAGCTGTTATCGATGTGTGTACGGTGAGCCATAGCTTCAGCAAGTTGCTTTTGAGCTTCAGACTTCCTGTCAGAGCCTTCCGGAGCTTTCCTGAACTGCCAGTGGTGGAAAAGAAATCATTTTAACGTCTATAAGTGCTAATTATGAAAAGCTAGGTTGTCTAGTTACAACAAATCGACAGCCTATTATAAATTTTGTGTAAATAGCTCGCCTCTAAATTAGTTCAACATGTTATTTAACTGATTTTTGTTTTACAATAGATGCAAGTACCTTATGCCAAAAATGTAAAAGATCAGCATCCCGCTGGTTAATAGCTTCAGAAGATGGGTGAAGAGAATTATCATCCACAAATGTATAATTGTCGTTTGTTGGATCTGTTCCCATATACACGAAGAGACTCTCTACACTTAGATTCAGATCACCATATTGCATGACGTGCGAACCCATGTAAGAGTTGTCCTTTGCTGTCCGCTTTTTAACCTGAAAATGCATACAGAATTTTTATTTATTCTATACAGTAAACATTAACCACAATGCTCTGAATTTAGCATAATTTTTATTTAGTTAGGACGAGAGTCCCATTTTCAGGTGACACACACGTCGCCTTGATAAAATGATCTGAATTTAGCATAATATATGCAAAGGGACAGTTTCACGGTATCTTACCAGTTGATACTGCTGATTCAAAGTTTCAGTCCGGAGATTGTGTATGTCGCTGTATAGTACCACAATGCAAATATAAGTTCAAGAGAAGAAAAGAAACATTGAATAGAAATTAAAACTTGTTTTCATTGATGGTGTTTATTACTTTTGGGTATGTATGTGACTTGCTTTGAGAAACCAATCTTTCAAGTAACAATAGAGTGGGTAATCAGCTGTACATGACTGGATGACAAGCAAGATATTTATTTATTTTTTCGAAACAAACAATCTAATTTGAGAAATTGAAGTTATATGAGATACCTGTCTTCCATCCAGGCAATACTATAGAGGTCACCCAAGCAAGTTTCGTATTCAGGGGGAGGAGAAGGGTACTGGCCAGGGCAATAGGTTCCCCAGCTACTCTCATATGCATTAGATGCAGTTGTCACGTATATATCCAAATCTTGTGCAAGAAGACCTTCAAATATACTCCCAGATTCACAAGCTTCCAAGTAAAAAACCTATAACACCAATTGTCAAATATTTTCATCTTTCTTTCTCTTTTCTTTGTTGTCTTGTTTAGAATATAATATAATTTGTTTACCAAGCTCTTGTATGTTCCGGAATCATGCTTCTTTCTCAAGACGTCATTTAGATCATCGGCGTATATATAAGGACCGGTGGGCATCCCTGAGAACATCATGAGATTTTAACATCATTACATGAATAATTGATAAGAGATTTGATTAAAAAATGAGAAGAGTCGAGATTTGATTACAAACCGAGTATTCCAGGACCACCATGATCGGTATAATAGACAAAGATATGATCGTTGGGAGAACTATCCAAAACCTTTCCACTACCGCCAGTGAGTGCAGTTTTATTGCCAAGAAGAACAGCATAAAAGTTGTTTGCCGTCACTTCATCTCCAACATAATCCTGTTGCAAAAACTCCATAAAATTCCATAAGAAATGAATTGATTGAAACGAAACAGAAACAAAAACCGAAACCGAAACCTTTGGAACTCCGTGGTACACATCCTGACCACTCGGGTTGTTTATGATGACACCTGGCCTGGGATTGTCCGGATTGTAGGCAATGTCATCATACATAAAAACAATGATATTTTCATCCTTGAGACCACCCTTCTTCATTATTTGATATGCATGGCATACATCAGCCTATATCATATCATCAAAGGACTTACGTTAGAACCAAACCAACTAACTAGTTACTATACAAAATATGCTCATAAAAGAAAAGTATCCAACTACTTCTTCTTCAAAACAGATATAGTTGAGTTTCTACATATGGATATGGTGTTCCATAAAAATAGATTAGCCTTAAATAGAGTATTTAATTTATACAATAATTAGTTTAGAGATTAGTAATTATTGATGCTTCTAACATTAGGCTGTATAGAAAAACAAAGAATTCCCATCTCTCCTTGGACAGCCCCTGCAGTGGATGCCTTTGGGGTGGCTGACGATTCTCTGGATCTGATCAGCATCCCTATTAGTAATTAATATTTTTTTTTTACATCCCTATTAAGAGATTAATTTTTTTTAAATATTCTAATTGGTTTTAATGATATAGTCACCATTAGAATCGCTAAGTAATTGCTATAAAAATCATTTTAATATTTTTTAGATAATTAATTGGTCACGAATCCTCAAAATTATAAAAATTACATTAGTCGTTATGCTTTTATGCAATCAATATAGTGATTCATATGTGGTTAAATGATATGTATTGTCTAGTTTTATTAAATAGTATTAATCCTGTACAGTGGACGAGTAAGAGATATTCATTAATAGTTATAAATAAAAAATTCTTATTAAATAATATTTATAAATTAAAAATATGGAATCAATATGTAATACAATTTACTTATATTAATTTATTGAAAATGTTATATAAAGTTTAAATTGTGCAAAATTACATAAAAATATCTATTTAAAATTAATACACAACCCGTGCGATGCACATAACTGATAATAAATTACATTATATTTGTTTCAAAGTAAGTGTCATTTTAAAATTTTTATTCAGAAATCGATTTGACTATAATGTGATTCCATAAAATAGTTATTTTGGTAAAAATTTTATCATATATTTAACAACATATGTGAATAATAAGTATAAATATAAAATTTTTATTGTTTCGTCAATTAAAATAAATTTATTTTTTGATAAACTATTCAATATATTATATATCAAATTTAAACTATGCAACTAATGAAGGTAATAGTCGCAAGTTTTGTTAATATATTATATACCAAATTTAAATCATGCAACTAATAAAGGTAATAGTTGTAATATTTGACCAAAATAATTATGTACATTAATTACATTAATTTAGGCGATATTTTTCAAATTTTGGCCAAAAAATTTTCCCAGTTTAGTAAATCTGCGGGAAACCAAATGTTTTTTTACTGATTTTTAGTTACTATTTCAAGTAAATATCATTGCTTCTTTATATATTAATAGATGATCAAATTTTTAAAGTGTGATACAATGATCTAACTTATAATTTTAATATTATACCCATATATAAAATTTATAATATTTTACTTCTATCTGTGCACCAACAAAATCGAGGAAGATGAGAGGATGGGGATGAAATTATTTTGTTTATAGGTAAAGCACTTGTTTTGATTATATGGTTGTTTGTGTTTTTGTGTTTATTATTGCAGTAGGTGATGTTTAATATTCTCAATTATTGGAGTTGTTTGAGTCACAATGGGTTCAGTAATTTTTGTTTTATGTTTACAATTTTCATTATGAGGTCGAATTCAGGCGGATGTGCTATTTCACTTATATAATCCGTTTTATAAACTCCTTTGTAATTATATTTATTTTATTAATAGATCTAGAGTTTTTTTCCCTTTTTTGTTTTTCTTTTTTGTTTTTGGAATTAGATTATAAATAAAAGACAATTACAGAGAAAAAGGCAAAAGTCAGAAAATGAAAATAAAATTAAAAATACAAAAAATCAGGGGGCGTATGACCTGGTGCCTGTAATTTCCGTAACCAGAGGATCCCGCTAATAGGACGGCCCATCTCTTCCCAACCGAATCATCACCTTCGGATGGGAGCTTTATCAAGTCATGCCGGCAATTACCGACGGTCAGGATTGAGAGTGCGACGAGGACAAATACACCAGCGCCGTAGCGTATCCACATCGCTGGAATCTCCACTTCTTCTCTCTTTTGTTTACTAAGATATTTAATTTATTGTGTATGGTCTGAGAATCAATCGACTGATGGGTATATATAGAGGAGTAAGATTCCAGTGACGTCTGCATAAAGTATCTTTGGATTCTCTGCTTTGCGATACATGCTGTTTGTGCAGTCATCTCACATTAAGGCCCGTTTGGCATCACAGAAAATGGGGATTTTAAAAAAATGTTGAAACTGATGATAAGCCATCATATTATTTACTTNCAAAGGAAAATAAAACGAGAACAAAATGGCAACAAACTCAAATATAAGGGGGAATTAAGGATAATTCATAATCTATTAGTGAAGAGAAAAAAAGGGGGCAGGGGCGGATTTAAAAAATTTAACTTGGAAGACTAAATAATTTTCAATAATCACATACGTCATTAAAAAAAAAAGTTGCATTTTTAGAATAGAAAAGAAAAAGAAAATAGTTCAAGAAAATACATATCGTTCAAAACTTTGTGACTATTAGAATTGTGCCCGACGTTCTCTCTAAGTCATGAAACATGTCGATGATTGACTCGGTAGTAATAGATCTTGCAATTTTTCTTTTAGCAAAGATAGTAAAAGAATTTACGAGAAAGTCATATTCCATTTTACTTCGAAGTTTGGATTTAAGTTAATTAAAATAGTTTGATTAGTTTCATTAATAAGAAAATAATATCCCCTTCCCTTTATATATAATTGCGGAATGTGCTGAGCTTAAGTGGCAGTCTCGCACGCTTCGTAGTCCTACTTGGCGAAAAAACATGCTTCGTAGTTTGATTTGGATAAAAAATAATATTATTTTGATCAATAATTTTAGGTTCGAACGTTACAAAAATATTAAAAAACTAACTTGTTAATCCTATTATAGTTTGACTAATATAACCCTTAAGTTGTATTGGAACTTTTGGTATGATATTGATTGACTAATATAACCTTGATTTCTTTTAGAAACTCTCAACCGACTCATTAATTTTCATGAAAACTTCGAATTAGTCTAATAAATTGATTGGTCGAAAAATGTGCACGTTTTATATATTTAATAGGGTATTTTTATACACTTAGTTTATTCGCACATCTTTATTTTTGACTTATTTATTATTTAGATGGATTTATTTTATTTGGTATTTTATGTATTATTTTTCAGTACATTAGAGTATTTTTGTGTATGGCGAAATATTGGGTAAGAGCTCGAACAATACATTATCACTCATGGGCCCGACGGATATTTGGTTGAAGGCCCAAGAAGAAAATTATTTATTTATGGGCCACTAGTTCTAATTTAATGGTTTTTGTCTTAGTGATGACTAATGCGTGGCCCGTGCGATGCACGAAAAAACAATATTACGATTATATTACGAAATAAATATATAAATAACATTAATCATGATTTATTCATTGTTATTAAATTAAACCGGGTTGGACACTATCCGACCGGATGGACCAAGAACAGGTTTGTAACCAATCTAGTTTGCTTGAATAAAATATTTGCTCTCGAATCCATCAACACCAGTCGGTTGGACTGGTAGGATCGATACGATTTTCAAAATAAATTTTGTTATATTTAAAATTATTTTAAATAAAATTACATATTTAAATAAAATATAAATTTATAAATTATTTATCAATTAGTTTAAACATTTGAATTTATAAATTGTTTAGATATCTAAATAACACATTTTATTTAAACTTATTACAAAAAGTACTATATATATATATATATATATATATATATATGTTTATAAATTAAAATCTAAACAAACCACAAATGATTTAATAAAATAGCTTGATCGTTTCGATTACGGTCCAGTTCTGAAAACCTTATATTTACTGTACATTAATAAATATCATAATAAAATATTATTTAATTCACATAAATATTAATAAAATGATATATAAATATTCATAAATCATTAAACATGTCGTCATAAAAGTATTGTTTATACGATTATTTAAAGTTTGGACTACATCACATTCACGTAATAAAATATTTTTAATATAAAATTTATATTTAGGTTCAATAGTCGATTTGGTGTGGTCGAACTGATACATAACTTAGTCACCTGAGACCAACCAAGTTGTGTCAAGTTTTTTGACTATTTTAAATATCACCTAAAAGTAATTCAATCAACTTGGGCAGTACCCTTATTCAATCACTCGATTGATCCGAAGAAATTATCTTATTTTCTTTAAATATATTTAATTTTATGAAATAAAAATATTTTATGATTCATATAATAAATGTCTACACCAAATGATAGTATATTAAGATTATAAATTATATATCTAAAGATGAATTAATTATACTTTATGCATATTAATAAAAAATAAACATAGTAATTTTTAAAAAAAATTAAGATTAATTGATTGATTATGCAATTCAAAGAATATTTTTAGCGTTCAATATTTTTTTTTAAAGACACAAATATAAAGACATAGATTCTAAAACTTTTGTTATATTTTGAATTGAGATTTTATAAATATAGAGACCGAAATTTTAATGTTGTTCGTTGTTTTTAAGAAAAAAATAAAAATAAAAATATACACACTTAATAAATCTTATTTGAATTTTTTAAATAATAAAATGAACTAAAGTTCGAAATTTAAGGTAATATTTAATGATGTATGATTTTTAAAGAAAAAAAAGGAAAAATAATAAAACTTACTATTTATAGACTGCATTAAATTCTGATCTATTTTTTGCTACTATTTTTGGTAAATGATAATTCTTATTATATATATATATATATATATATATATATATATATATTTGACTAAAAAAAGAACAACTGATTTTGAGGGCCGCAACTAATTAATGTTGGAAGAGTTTTGATTGGCTGGGAAAATTGGATTTGCTTGGAAACCAAAACCAAGTGATTGGAGAAAAGAAAATACACACGCACGCCACAACAACAGTTCGAAGGATAGAGATTTTATTTACTGAAGGGGATTTATTTTTTTGCGAAAGCATAGGGATTTATTTACTGAAGGAGATAATTTTATGTTCTTTTTTTTATCTTTTCTTTATTTTTATTAGCATGTTAGGGTAGTTTTTTATCCAGTTTTAGGAGATGTTTGGACCCTAATTTTGATTTGTGTATGAGTTGAAGAATCTTTATTTATTGTTAGTTAATCGAGACGCTGTATTTATTTTTGTTGATGAGTTGATTCATGTTATATGTTTATAACGTTTATGAATTATGGTGTTTAATTTAGTTTGACCAGCTACGTTAAATGTTAAATATTTATAATTTAATTGTTAGATTCGAGACTTTAATCTGTAATTGTTATTGTCTTGTTTCGTTGTAGTAAACTAGGGATCGTGGGGTAACATGAACATAAACTAAATGGTCCGAGCTTACGCGTTTGATAGGAATTATAGTACCGACCGGGGTTAAGCCTAATGGCCAAACTAAATGAGAAGGACCGTGGGGGGTTCGACCTGCTCGAACAGTTGAGCATATACTCGGGTTCGGTTGGGCGTCGACCCACTCGGGCGGTCGAACTTGGACCCAGGTCGACCGCAAGGCAATAGTGAGATGAGCTTAGCAGCGGCCTATGCACCCCAACATCGACCTATGTGCCCCAGCAGCGGCATATGCACCCCAGCATCGGCCTATACGGCCCAACATCGACCTATGCACCCCAGCAGCGGCCTATGCGCCCTAGCAGTGGCCTATGCACCCCAACACCGACCTATGTGCCCCAGCAGCGGGATATGCGCCCCAGCATCGGCCTATGCGCCCAGTATCGGCCTATGCGCCCCAACGTCGACCTATGCGCCCCAGCAGCGGCCAATGCGCACCAACATCGACCTATGCGCCCCAGCAGCGGCATATGTGCCCCAGCATCGACCTATGCGCCCCAACATCGACCAATCTACACTAGGTCGGTAGATGCCCAAGTCATAAGGCTCGATCCTTATCTCGACCGTGCATCGACCCGCTCAAGGGTCGATTGGTCCAAGGAGTCGACCCCCGACCATAGCGTCGACCGGTGAAGGGGCTTAGGGTCGAGCCTTGGCCCTCGAAGTCATCATATGCCAGGTGCTTGGACAATGAACGTCTAAGGATTTATGGTCCCGAGGACCGTACAGCTAGTCACTATATAAGACGTAAATTCACCGACGAGAGGGTAAGGTGAATTCATTATTTCACTGCAACATTTATTACGCACGATTCTCTCTCTCTCTCTCTCTCTCTCTCTCTCTCTCTCTCTCTCTTTATGGTTGGATACTGACTTGGGCGTCGGAGGGTTTTGTGCTGGAGCAATTTCGGCGCTTTGCAGGTACCGGCGAACTCAAGTGCATGGACTGAACCACACCCACCGACCTACCATTCAAAACCGAAGAGGACCTGATGAGTAACTGGAGTCATTAATTTGATAAGGTCCAAAATGAATGACTCCTGTTCCTCATCAGGTCCTCTTCGGTTTTGAATGGTTGGTCGGTGGGTGTGGTTCAGTCTATGCACTTGAGTTCGCCGGTACCTGCAAAGTGCCGGAATTGCTCTAGCACAAAACTCTCTGACGCCCAAGTCAGTATAAAGCCATATATATATAGAGAGAGAGAGAGAGAGAGAGAGAGAGAATCGTGCGTAATAAATGTTGTAGTAAAATAATGAATTCACATTACCCTCTCGTCGGTGAATTTACCTCTTATATAGTGACTAGCTGTACGGTACTCGGGACCATAAATCCTTAGACGTTCATTGTCCGAGCACCTAGCATATGATGACTTCAAGGGCCAAGGCTCGACCCTAAGCCCCTTCACCGGTCGACGCTATGGTCGGGGGTCGACTCTTTGGACCAATCGACCTTTAGGTCTGGTCGACCCTTGAGCGGGTCGATGCATGATCGAGATAAGGATCGAGCCTTATGACTTGGGCATCTACCGACCTAGTGTAGACTGGTCGATGCTGGGGCGCATAGGTCGATGCTGGGTCACATATTCCGCTGTTGGGGCGCATAGGTCGATGTTGGGGCGCATAGGCCGATGTTAGACGCATAGGCTGATGCTGGGGCGCATAGGTCGATGTTGGGGCGCATAGGCCGATGCTGGGGCGCGTAGGCCGATGCTGGAGCGCGTAGGCCGATGTTGGGGCGCATATGCCGATGTTGGGGCGCATATGTCGATGCTGGGGCGCGGGCGCATAGGCCGCTGCTGGGGTGCATAGGTCACTGCTGGGGCGCATAGGTCGATGTTGGGGTGCATAGGCCGCTGCTAAGCTCATCTCAC